TGTTTTCGACCTTAAGTACCAAGCCCACATTCGCATCATCACTGGCCTTTTCCCATCACTCTGAGGGCAGCACTAACACTGCTTGGTCTACCTCTGGACTCCTCCCTCACCATCCTTGTGTAGGCATGAACTACAAAAACAAATCTAAAAGCTTGATTGAAATGTTCCGATTTTTTTTTTAATGGAGCTGGCAAGCAGGAAGCTGTGCCCAGGATTGGAAGCCTGCCCGGCAGGCCCAACAAACTGGAAATTTCATCCACATGTAGATAGTGATTCTGCACACCTGCACCGGGGAGGGTGCCTGACGGGACAGTAGGGGAAGAGCCTCGGATTTCTACAGTACGTGCCTTTTAAAAAATGTATGTCTATGGTAGTAAAATAGACATAAAATTTACTATTTTAACCCTTTTACAATGGTTGGTTCACTGGCATTGAGTACAGTCACACTGTTGTGCAACCATCACCACCACCCAACTCCATAACTTTTTCATCTTCCCAAACTGAAACTGTGCTCATTAAACACTGTCTCTCCATTCCGCTTCCCCCCAGCCCCTGGACCCACCTTTCTAAAGCGTCTTCATGAATCTGACTACTCTAGGTACCTTATAAAAGTGCCATGATATACATTTTGAGTTTTCAATCCCTCCATGTATATCCTGAGACTTATTTTTTTTTAATATCTAAATATTTTTATTGTCTTGGGATGTGGAAAATGTTTTTAAACAGAAGAGCAAGGCATAAAATATAACAGAAAAGTGTATGTGTGTACTTATACACACAAGACATAAATGTCTCATCTCATTTATACATTGTATATACGTAAATAACATATACACAAAACATAAACATTTATATTATATATATATATCTGTAACTACATAAAAAGCAAAATTTTCCCATTCTCCTCCCCTCTAAAAAAACCACAAATGAAATTATACGGGAAATGATTACTGAGACCTATTATTTGCCCAACACTGTGCTAAGCTGTATGAGGTAGGGGGATACATAAAATATGAGATCTGACTCCCACCACTGGGATCATTAGAGTTGAGCCGTGAAGGCAAGGCAAGCTTCCAGGACACAGGGTGTAAGTACATGATACTAACTTGGAGGACAAGCAAAATTGAGGTAAGAGACCCTGACAAATAGGTATAGTCTAAGAAGCCTTTTTTTTAACTGAAGTATACTCAGTTTACAATGTTGTGTCAATTTTTGGTGCACAGCATGATGTTTCAGTCACACATGCACATATATCTTAAGAAGTATACATAAAAGTAGTGACTTGAGGAATGAGAATGACTTGTGGTTAGGGAGACGGGAAGATTTTGGATTAATTAAATCACTCACATACCCAGGCAGCCTGGATCATCCGAAGGTGACCCAGGCAGAGCAACAGGCCACAGCGTAATGACTTGGCTTCTCTAAAGATGGGATGATCAACCCTCCATCTGTGAAGCAGACTTCTGCTTGTAGCCACAAACCACACATACAATGGTTTCCTTTCCCCCTACTGCAGAATAAGACACAAAAGAACATCAAAGGGTTTTGTTGGCTGGTGTTATTTTTTTTTAAATTATCTCAGAAAACAGCCAAACCAGCTCTTTTGTGCAAGTCTGTCTTTTTCCTTTGGCAAAAGGAGCTAGTAAGAACTTCTGAAACTTGTGTGGAATGTCTGACCACCAGGGTCAGGTCACATCAACCTTGACCACAGTAGGAGATAGGGACCCCTAGAGAGATGAGCCTCCAGGTCCTCACCCTCACAGTCCCACCAGGCCTTTAAACCGACCTCCCAGCCCTGCCAGCACTTTGAGCAAGTGTCCAGTGGAGCAGCAGCCGGACAAGGCTGTCTGTGCAGGGTCGCCTCCCCCTCCCACAGCTCCTCCTGCCGGGTCTGCTTTCCAAGCATAAGCTTTAGCGAGGGGCCCTGTGGGCAAGTGAGAACAGGAAGGCCTGCCCTGCTGTCGCTCATACCACTTTTTTGCCTTTTCTATCCTGTCTTCCCCCGCCCCCTTTCTTTCCTTCAAGATGTGGCAGTAAGAAAACAGAAGTCCTTACTTGGAGACATAAACATTCGTAGTGTGTCCCACAGCACAGAGGTTTGGTTCTGACCGTCCATTCAACTGTATGTACGTTAACAGAAACTGCAAATGTGGGGCTAAGAAAAGCAGTCAGAAAGTGCTCCAATGTCTTTACGAGGCATTTTACAACCCCAGGAGAAGAAAAATGGGAAGAGCCACAGTGCCCAAAGGATCTTAAAGATTCCATTTGTCCACAGGAAGCAGAACTGTCCATGACATGAGAGATCAGAGAATGGTCTTCTCTCTCAGTCCTACAGAAAAAACACTGTGGCATACAGTGGATGACTGTGGTCGATGACATTATGATACTGGCTCTGATAATGAATGCTATGCAGCTATGTCCTACAAAGCACCTCACAGAAGGCAGAAGGCGTGACCGGAGAGAAAGTTCATTAAAAACACATATACAAACCAAAAGGGAAAGGGGAGACATTACTACCAACCTTACAGAAGTAAAAAAAGAATACTATGTACAACTGTACACCAAGACATGAGATAACTGGAAGAAATGGACAAATTCTAGGAAAAAATAAACTACCAAAACTGCCTCAAGAAGGAAAAGACAATCTGAGTAGATCTATAACCAACAAAGAGATTGAATTAGTAATCTAAGAAACCAACCATAAAGAAAAACTTAGGCCAAATGGTTTTTCTGTTGAATTCCACCAAGCATTTAAAGAAGAATTAGGACAAATTCTTCACAAACTCTTCCCAAAAAATCAAAGAGGAAGAAATACTTCTCAACTAATTTTATAAGGCTATATTACTTGGATACCAAAACTAGACAAAAACATCCCCAAAAAAGAAAACTACACACCAAAAACACACATAAGAATGTACCAAAAGAGTGTGGTCCAAGTACACAGCCCTATAATTTCACGTTTTCGAGGCAATCTCCATAAATAATCCCCTCAAGCTAGGTTTTTGATAAGGATTCGACAGCAGATTTCAAGGCTATCATCTCTGGCAAGAATCTGGAGAGTAAATATTCTGCAGTAGCAATGAAACACAGGTCCTTCTGCTTTGCCAACTTCCAGGGCAGGGGATAGAAATGAGATCCTCTTATTTATTCATTGTTAAATGCAGCATGAAGGTTCGGGGAACTGCTACTACCAAAGTAAGAACTAAGAGTGTTTTTCTTGCTGAAATTTGAAGAAAGTGTGGAGCAAAGGAGAAGAGTTATTAGATATTTTAGGTGTATTTTATATTTGATTTAAACTTTAAAACTACAGAAAAAGAGATCTCAGATTACAGGAAAGTATAAGCATTGAATTAAACTACAGAAGAGACAGGATACTTTTCTCTGGACTTAAAAAAGAAAAATCCCCAAAACTCATCTTGCAAGCATAATAAACATAATTCCAGGAGTTCCAATTCTACCCTTTTTTAGGTCTTGGTTAAATGTTGCCACTTTCAAGAAGATGCAGCTGTTGTCAGTTTAGTGTGGCACTTGAGGGTTTCCTCTTACAGCATTTTTCACTTTTTTCCTGGAGTTGCACTTGTCTTACCATCTCACTGGAGTGTAATCTTCTTGAGGGCAGGAATGGCCCCTTGAATGAAGATTCTTTCTTAGGTTTAGGATAGTGCTTTGCCCACAACCAGCACCAATGAGAACTAATGAAAATACCATGGATCTCATTACATGGTCAGTTTAAGGCCAAATGGATTTTTAAGGTACTCAAAGTAAAAAAGCCTCTTGTTAAAAGGACTGTTGGGTACAATAAATTTTAAAATTTGTTTACAGATTAAACCATGAATAAGAGATGGCTTTAATCTGATTCATTTATACTTGCTAGATACTTTTCTTTTAATCAGATGTCCACAGCTGTTAAGTATGGACATCTTTCAGGAGAGAAGAAAAGTAGTAATCTAACAGTTATCTTCACCTTGCAAAGTTATCCCTTTGAAGACATTCAATCAGTTTCTTCTTCTGAAACCATTCTTGGAATGGTAAGGAGAAACTCCATTAATGGACTTTGAAACTTCAGTTTATGGAAAGAATGAGGTTTACAAAAAATTGCTTGAACCAAAGTACGTAAGGTATTATTTTAACCAGTTATTTACTCTGCTTCTTTCAAAAGGATTATACAATCTCTGCCCATTGTCGTATGATTGGCAGGGCTTCCTTAGGAGAGGACTATACTTTCTGGCACCGGTGACAGCTGGCTTTGTCATGTGATTAGCTTTGGTCCATAGGATGTGAGCAGAATTGGGGCATGCGGGCTGTTTTCAGTTTTAAGAGCAGCATGTGCCAGTGGCGTATAAGAGCTGAAACTTGGCAAGCCATTTGTTAAACAGTTAGTAGCCTGAAATCCATCATGGAAATAGCAAATACTACAAATCAGGGCTCCCCCTCCCTCAAAGTTGGTTCCAGCACACGATGAACATATTCCCAAAAAGCTGATCTTTCAACCTAGAGCCTGGAATCAAGGACACTGGTGGAGCAGAGCAGAGCCAAAGCTGCCTGCAGCAGATATAATGTGCTTGAGAAATGAATCTTTGTTTTTGTAAATCACTGAGTTGGAGGGGTTGTTTGTTACTTCAGCATAATCCACCACAAACTTACTGATACACCACGCTAATGTTAACTAAGTTTTAGTGAATACCAGTGAGCCCTACTTTTATCTGTCCAAACCTTGGTTCAGGTGATTTTTTCCTAAAAACTTGTGCCATCACATACTTTGAATCTGAAAGGATAAAAATTACACTCAGAGACTCAAGCCCAGGAATCCAGGTCTTGGAAGATTAATATAAAGATACACATTCATAATTCCAGTTTTAAAAATCACTGAACTACTGCATTATGTTTAAACCGTGGCAAACACAAGTCTGTTGCTTGTGGACCTGAGTGGTTTGAGAGTGACTCGCCAGCCCTGTCAACTACAGGTCACGGATTACCTTCCCCTCCTTTCCCTCCAGCCGTAGGAATGGAGCGCTGTGTCTTTAAGGGGGACTCGCCCGGAGGTTTCCTCACAGGACAAAATGTCTGCGAGGATCTTGGAGGTGATCGGCGATCCCAGGCTCGCAGCTCTCCTCCTGCTTCTTCGGGGGTGATGGGGTGAGTGTGGGCTGCGAGATGCGAGATACGAGCTATGAGCTACAAGATACAGGCGGTGCGTGCCCACCAGGAGGCCCGGGATCCCGGGGTCCGGGATCCAGCTGGGCTGGGGACAGGAGGCTGCCTGGGGCTGGGGGCGGCAAGGTGAGCCGGGGACTAGTCCCAGGCCTCGGAGATCGCAGAGAAGCCGGCCACCGCAGACCCGCAGACTTGCTGGTGCCCCGGGTGCCGGGCGTGCCCTTGGTCGTGGTCAGGGTGTCTATTATAAAAGATGCATTGGGACCCGGGATTCTGCATAAAGGCCCCGTTTGCTTTCTTTCTGCATCTCATTTTTGCTCCTCCTCTACAGTCTCTCTTCAAAAAAGTTATTTAGGAATATTGAAAATCATGTGCTCTCTCATTATTAAAGCAGCCTGTTGTAGTCAGTCCTTTAACAAGGCCAGTGGTTGGGTACTCCTTCTCTAATTGTATTCACTTTGGGGAGACACCAAATGCAAGCCAGACACTCAGACAAAGACCCCTTCCCCCACCTTCACTCCCACAGTGCTCAGACAAAGGAATTTTCTGATCCCACCAGAGCATACAGGAGCAGTTTGCTACAACTACTTAAACTAACCAAACGGCCCAAACCTTACCAAGCAAAGTTGAAAGAAAAAAATACCTGCCCCCATCCGAACTGCTGAATTAGTCAAGGCTACAAACATACGGTGTTTAAGAGAAACTACTGCAGAAATAGCTTAATACAGTGGCATAATCAGGGTAGTCATGTTCTGTACTTCCATGAATGTAATTATTTATATACTGTTTTTAGCCAAAAATAGCTTGAGGCAACCGCCAATAAAAAATATACAACAATGTATGAAAAGACCAAGAGCCAAAACTAGGTAATTCTTAATTTAAAAATCTTTGTGTTAAAAAGGCCCTCAAAGTAGGGCGGCTTTAAATCCCTCTAATTCAGATTAAATTATGCATTTCACAAGATAAAAACAGATCAACACCCTTCTTTTTAGGAACATATATATTAAATAAAATAGCATAGACCTGAAATAAAGGTCCATTTTAGGATAGAACACTTCACAATTTTCATTAAATAAAAAATAGAGAGAAAGAGAGAGAGAGAGAAAGAGAGAATGTTTCCCAGCCTTTTAGCTAATGGTAGAGGTATCTAAAAATTTGGCTTATGACATTTAGAGAACATCTCTGATTTACCAGATAATTGGCTGTGGGTCCAATACATTTTATACAGTTCATTTGTAACATTTTTCCAGATTTTTTTTTCACACTTAACCTTTTATTCCCTAACCCAGGTATCAATGCTTTACAATTTGGAAGCATTTTTATTTCATCTAAGCCTTCAGCCTGGTGATTCCAGACTAATTTTTCTAATTGTCTGGATCTGTTTATAGATTAATACATGGCAATAAATTAATATTTCAACAGAGATGGATAGGTAACATGAATTGTGGTTTCACTGATACCTCAGTTGTCAGGCTAATTATTTGTTTTAATTATTATATTCTGCTTTGATTAAAAGTTACTGGTGGATAAAAATGTTTTTAGTGTTTTCACACCAGTCTGTGTGGATTTCACATTAGTGTGAATTTCTCACCTAAGATCCAGTCAAGCTCACCTACACATACTTGTTTATAACTCTGCTGGATTAATCCAACTAAAGTGAGTAGCCTAGACTGTGGAAGGATAAATAGAGCTTTCACTCACCTGTTATTTCCTTTTGAGAACATTGTCTGGTTCTCTGGCCTTTAGCCTGCCTGCTATTTTGTATGTCTACAAGCATAGGTATAAAACAATAAAATTAACATTTGTGGGTGGTGTGTAGGATGATTCTCAATGTTAGAGTCATACATTGTGTGTAACCATCCATATTTACACAAATTATTCATCCAGGTTCTGATCTCTTCCCTTATTCTCTATATCGGTATTCAGGGAGATCATACTGAGGAATCTGGATTTTACTGTGATAAGTTTTTAGAAGAATAAAACTTCTTCAAAGAACTTCAAATGCAGAGGTAATTAATGCGAATGTCTTACCTTCTACCAGCTTAGACTTACCATCCTTCCAGATAGTGGATACCATAATAAAACTCACATAGGACAACTCAGAGGCATCATACCATCAAATACTTCTCTCTCCCCTTCCATGAAATAACCAAAATCTACTTTTTTTCATTCTTTTTCCCCTGAAATTGGACTCAAGATTTCCATTTTTAAATTAATTTCATGCTAGCAGTGCTTTTATTTAGCTTCAAGAAATTTTACTTAGAATATGAGCTTGGAAGCCTAGTTAGACAACTATAGACCTGGAACATTTATTTGTTAGAGTCAGCACTAACAGTGCTGTGTTTTAGAGAGTCTGATACTAAGCAAGGTGGGGAAGAGAAAGGATACTTAAGCAGGTGTGTCTGCATAAACGTTTGTGTTGGAGCCGCCAAGCCCACCCCTCCCCACTCCTCATGAATAAACCCTGCTCTGACCTTTGCCATGGGTGTCAAAATCTTCAAGCATCTCTCCCACAGATGGCAGGCTTCCAGAGGGCAGGGACTATGTGGTGCTTCTCTTGGCATCCTGGGCAGCAAGCACGTGCCTGGCCCTGAGCAGGTATACAAGGAGAGTTTGAATGAAAGAGTGGGTGGAGTGAATGGACATGAAATAATCACATTCCTTAGCAACTTTATGGTCGTGTAAAAATTGTTTAAGAACAACTAAGGGGGCTCTTATTTTTCATTTTTTTTCCTTTTTTTCCTTTTTTTAAAAATTAAAGTATAGTCAGTTTACAATGCTGTGTCAATTTCTGGTGTACAGCATAATAGTTCAGTCATACATATACATATATATTCATTTTCATATTCTTTTTCATTATGAGTTACTGTAAGATATTAATATGGTTCCCTGTGCTATACAGTATAAACTTATTATTTATCTGTTTTATATATAGTAGCTAGTATTGTTAGCTAACCATACCAGTCAACAAACGTTAGGTTTGGGGCGGGGTACTTGGTGAGAAAGAAATGCCTCTCACAGGACTCCAGCTCACTAGGCCTCCCTGTCATCTCCTACCTGAGTGATGAGTAACCTCATTTGCATGAAGATCAGCTGAGGACGTGAAAATAAATTTGGTCAGGAGTGAGGAGGTGGATCTGGTTCTTTCTTATTTGCTATTTGTATTTAAAAATCCCCAAGAGAATTCTTCCAGCTTAAACTACCTCCTTTATTAATTAACAGCATGTTAAAGAGAAAAACAGCACTGCCTTTTAGCCACTAAGATCTTCATGTGGACACATTTGAACAGTACATACTGGGAGCTTCCTTTTGTTTTGCCTTAAATTGATACAGCACTGGAAAGGCCAGCAGTGACATCATTTGCATTACCTGATTTCAGCCACCTGTTTATTAGGGACAGCTAATCTTATCACTCCCCTTGATAGATGGGGAGGTAGAGACTCTTGGTGAGCTGGGGCTCATTTCACTAAACGCAGTGTCCCCTCCAGTCTCCAGAGTTGAGGCTGTCTACCCCTGCCTGAGCTCACATGCCTGAGGATTGCTTTATAAAATTTCTTTTATTTATGTAGAAACCCCATCACATACATACTCTACCTAAATGTATACACATGATCACGTGCCTGCTTTCTTAGGACCATTTTCTTTGCCTTTTGTCTACCTCTTCCCCCTTCACAGCTGCCACACTCTCAACCCATAGTGTATCTTCTTATTTTTCTTTATATATATATATACATACACACACAACACACACAAAATCTTTTATCGATATATCCCACACAGATCTACATATTATTAGTAAGAGTGAGATCAAATTATACACAGTTTCCTGCATCTTGCTTTTCTCCTTAAACAGTTTCTCCAGAAATGCCTCTAGATCATCTGGCAGAGCTCCAATCCATCCTTTTCAATGGCTGCATAATATTCCCTGGGGTGACCACACATTATTTACCCAGCCATTCTACCACTGATAGGCATTCCCTCATTTCCAGTTTTTTTGCCGTTCTAAGTGATACTGTGATAAACATCCTAATACATGTTACTTAATGTATTGATGCTTTTAGTTCTGCAGAATAGATTCCCAAGAGTGGCATCCCTGATTATATCTATTTTTAATTAATAGAAATAGCCAGATTGCTTTTCCTAAAAGCCTTCACATCTCCATGAGGAATGCATGAACATACTCTTTTCTCTGCCCCCTTCTAGCTTTGCCTGACAGACCTCTTCATTTTTGTTAGTCTTGATGGATCTAAAATGAGACCTTGTTGTTACTTTAACAGCATTTCCCCGAATATAAGTGATGTTGTGCATCTTTTCACCACTTCCCTGGACATCTGGTTTTGCTCTTGGGTCATTCGCCTACTCATTATTTCTTGCCCATTTTTCTGTTAGGTTGTTGGTCTTTTTCTTTTCAGTTTGTAAGAGCTCTCTGTGAATCGGGGTTGTGGCTGAAGATTCGAAGACTTCTTTCTCTTCCAAGCTCAGGTGGATGACAAGGAGCTTCTCTCCCTCTGCACCATAGGGATGGTTGAAATGGGTTTGCTTAGCAGAGCTTCTAGGAAGGCTCTGCTGGGAATGACTTGTGGCCAGTTACTGCAGGTCACTCTTTAGAGATGGAGTCTGAAAAGAAGGCTCTATTGAGTCAGACTGTGGCTGTTGTCGGAGGACTGAGAAGGTGAGGCAGTTCTGAACCATGCTGCCTTCCACCGGTTAAGACCTCCGAGAGCGAAGGCCTGCCAAGACAGAGGATGCCCCTCTGCTGGCCTCAGAGGGGCAGCACTCTCCTGGCCGACACTTGTGGTGTTGCTTGTCCCTGGCTCAGATCAGGCTCTCCACTGACTCTAAAGGATTAAGACATCAAAATCAGTGCTTCTTATCCTTCTTGCCACCTTATGTCTTATAACAGATGGCACTCCTGGATGTGGCACTCCTCTGGTCATCCCAGATTTTGAAGAAACCCAGAGACCTCTTCCAGGGAGGTAAAGCATGACAGTAATGGGTCACCTCTGGCACTTTTAGGGGCACATCAGTAATAATTACTCTTAGACTTTTTGGCACGCGTAGCAGAGTCTGCAGGTTAGGTACAATTTTCAACACCCAGCTCAAGAGAGTGTATCAGAATGTAAAGCAATGGTCTTACTATTATATAAAAAGTTTAAATCTCTTTTCATTTATAAAGTAAATATAGAGACTCATAATACTATTCTCTCCACTTTTGTGTATGTCTAGTAATTTTTTAAAAAGGCACTCTAGAAAGATAAGATTCTTATTGTAGAAGCAATAGAATTCTAAAAAAAAGAAAAAAGTAGAAAAAAATTCAGGTAAAGTTGGGTAACAAAAAACATCTTTTAGACTAAAATCTGGTTCTGTTAATGAGCCGTAATGTTTGCTAACCATAAAAAAGTTCACCTTGAAGGTGGTCGGTAACCCCCCTACTCATCCCACCACTTTGGCTTTGGGGACTTTAGGGATTTAATAAATCTCTTGGGGGAAACACAGCCTTTCATTTCTAAAGATCTTTTATACTAATTATCATGAGTGACCATTTTCAAATCAATGCCTATGATATCAGAAGATATGTAAATAGCTATTTCTTTAGTTAGAAGAAGACTGGTACTTATCTTGTTTGATGATTCTGGTAAATTCGTTCTTTATTTTAAAATTTGAGAGCTCTGTTAAATGTCCTGCCTGATCTCAAGTGGACTTCCTTGGTGGGAAGAATAATGAGGTTTAGAAGATTGTGACGCATCTGTAACAAGACTATTAGCAACTGAATTACTAAACACTAAATACTATTGCAGAAACTTATTTTTCCTGTTCTCATCTTTGTCTTCAGTCATTCCTAGTTGCCTTTAATAAGAGAGATTCTGAAACTTCATTATCTCCCCTGCTGCTGGTTCAAAACCTGACAGCAGGAACTGGCTATCTCACTGTGCGTTTTCCCCCCACCTTGGCTTGAATCTTCCCCCTGAAATAAGTTCTCAGAAGAGCTCCAATTCTGTCTCTTACTATTATTTTTAAACTTTCAAAGCACATTTGTCTAGAATCACACTTTGACCTTTTGTGAAGTTATTTTTTAAAGAAGAAACTTCACTTTTTCTATTCCCCCTCGTTTGACAGGTTATCACAGTGGGAAACGTTTTCTTACTAGAAAGGACTTGGCAGTGATAGTCACTGGGTTGTGCTTAGATCCCTTTAACTACAGATATTTGTTGGACAAAGCAGGCAGCTATTACTTCTATTTTTCTTCCTTCATTAAAAGAACTGACCAAGTTTTTTTTATCTTGCTAATACATAGAGAGGGCCATTTAGTTGGAATGAGCCATATAGGAAACTAACTTTATGACTGAGGCACCTATAAGAAGGTCAGAATAGTGAACACCGGAGGGACATAGCACTAGCCAGTATTTCTAGTATCTACCTTTAAAGCTATTTAGTTGAATTCCTTTTACTCTGCTGCCTGCCCTCTGAATTTTTCTCCTAGTACTGCTGATGGCTCTACAGAACTCAGAAGTCACACTGCAGTGTTCCTACCTGAGAACTTGGGTTGGCTGGAAACTCTGAGGCAGTGACAGAGATCCCCACCCCCCAAGGCCCTCAGGACATGGCCCATCATCTAATTTGAAGGTAAAAGTTTAGAAGGCTGCTTTGGATATTGCTGTTCCCTAAATGTGTATATTTTAAGAACATTTGAAGAGTTTTTAGGACTCACAATTTTCTCATCAGCACATTGTTTTTAAAATCACAAAAACAAAGTTTTTTTTGTTTTTTGTTTTTTATGTTGGAACAAGTTCTCTCCTCGAAATCTAATTTTAAAAGGCTGCTCGGCCCTGGCACTTTCATCCCTAAAGTCTATGAAACAAAATTTTCATTCCTAAAACTTACCCCCCCCACTCCTTCCCAAAGCTCCTTCCTTCTGCAACACCGTGAGAAGAATTCAACAGGAAGCCTTGCTCTTATTCAGAAAAGACAGTTTTGTTTTGTTTTTTTAAGACCTCAAAGGATACTAGTTAAAACTCATATGTACATACGGCACTAACTTAGCTTATTCTTATCAGATGCTTGGCTTCCCAATTTTTGTCTCAGTATTTAGTAGCTGAGGACCCAATGAATTTCGAAGATAATTCCTAGCTAAGGAAAGAGAGACTAAACATTTTTAGCATTTCCCTCTCCTGGGGAATCAACAGTTAGTAGCACACACTGAGAAAGACACGCAAGTATCTACGCAAACTAACCACAGGATTTTTACCTGTGGTAAGAGGGAGGCGTGGTTTCTTCACAGGCTAACTCTAGTCCTAGAAGTTGTGTGTCGGGGCGTGTGTGTCGGGTGCGCGTGTAGTTTTGTGGTCGTCTTACCCCGGTCTCCCTCGGTGCACAGGCGCTGCACGGAGAATGAGGTGCGACGAGCCGGCCTCGACCATGGAAGAGAGCGGCGGGCCGGACGGGGCCGCGGGCCGCCTGGGGGCACCGTACTC